CCGTTCATGCTCTGTCTCCCTCTGTCCCAAAAATAAATTAAAAAGGAAAAGAAAAAAAAAAAAGTTGAAAAAAAAATACAGCAAAACGTCACGCTTCCTATATCATATCAATCTATTCTTTTTCAGGTTAACGAGTAAGGAACGTCTCAAAACGCCAAAATCTCTTGCTTCAGAAATGTTCTAACATTAAATTAATCAAAACACAAGGTTAAACACGTTCTTGTATTATATATCAAAGCATGTTAAAGAACTCCAGAAAAACATACCACTGCCCAGACCACAGCTTTCAAAAACATTTTCCCAATGTTGAAAAAATGAAATTTAAACATCTCAGGGTTGACAAATAATTATTGTGACACAAATAATTTTTGTGACATAAAAACATTTCGAAAAATATGTGTGTGTGTGTGTGTGTATATATATATATGCACACACACACATTTGCCTTTGAAGAAGTTATAAATTTCTCCATGAAGACATTTATGTTTTTCATAATTAAAAAATTCTCCAGAAAATCACCAATGTACTTTTATTCATTTCTCAATTGGGGGAAAAAAACATTAATTGTATCAAAAACTAAATGTATGTTTTACACACACATCTAAATGGATTATAACAAATGCTGATAGTGGTAGTTACAGTTCCAACAACTCATACCTGACTTTCGTTTTCTTTCTCTTGACCTTGATCGTGATCTTGAGTAATGATGTTTTGAGGCTCTAGGAGAAATAGATACATCTGACTGCTCTTTTTTCTTATCTCTATCTGGGGATGTCTTTTCTGGGGCTAGTCCATCTCGCTCTGTGTCACTAGCCTAGAAGTTTAAAGAAAAATGATTGTAAGTTCTTAATTACATTTAAAATGTTCCAATTTCTTAAAAGAAAGGGAGGGAAGAGAATGATCCTTGAGTTAAAAAAAAAAAATCAATAAATCAGAAGGCTAATTTCTAAGTACCTATTCGTTGTACCTGATAAACCTAAATAAATTGAAATGACTAACCCAGTAATAAAAATATATACGATTAGACTGATGTCTTTAACTTTAAAAAATCCTTATTTTCATAACTTTAAAAACGGGGGAAGAAGAGGGCTCCAAGTATTTTCAAAGTACATTCAAACAGAAAATATATAGACCATTTCAGATTTGTGAAGTCATTTACCTGACTTTACCAATATGCTTATTTTAAAATAGCATACACTAAAAAAGCATTTAAAATAAGTTGGTAAAATTTAGAGACTCAAGTCTGTAAAATCTAAGAAAACAGCAGAGAGAATGCTTCTAGATTATAAAAGAATAAACAGAAAATTAACTTACCTATCTGAGAACCCAATCTTAATTTCATTAACCCTCTTTAATGAAAACAGCCCCCTGGCACAGTGCTGCTGCAAAATATGGTCTGCCTCTCCTCACATATGCTCTGGGCTATGGAAACATTAAGTTGTTTCTGCTTTAAAGCATTTTATAGATTTTCACAATGCAATTAAAAAAAAAATTAAATTGTACGTATACTTTCCAAAGAGTCCTTAGATTTTTTCATCTAAATATCAGTTTTGTTTTCCAGTTTATAGAAGGCAATTTCACCTGCCTTGCTCAACAAACTACTCAGCACAGCAATCAAACAAATGAATTCTTGTTACTAATTTCCAGTTAAAAAAAAAAAAGTATTTCTATGGCTGTTTAACTGTGCAGTCCAAATTACAAACAGCAGCATCATACAAAAAAGACATTGATTTAAATGAGTCATAGAAAAAAGCTTCAAGAAGCTAAAACCTGAACTGTTCCCAAATCAGATTTTGATAAAAGGCAGGGGAAACCGTTTCAGTAGTATTCAGAAGGTGGACCATTTGGCCCTTGACCTAAGAATGGTTTTACATTTTTAAAAAGATTAAGCAAGAAATCAGACAGAAAATGTATGTTGTCCACAATGTCTAGAATACTTACTACCATGGTCTTTACAGAAAAATCTGTATTGGATAAAAAGGGAATCACTATAAATTTTCAGCAGGAGGAAAAAAATCACATGACAATGAATTTCTCCTTCCTTTAGGAAGATTAGTCCAGAAAACAAATGCCAAGTAAACTAAAAGGGGAGTAATTTAACAAATGAAGGGGGAGAAATTGCACTATTTCAACAACTATTTACTGAAGAGTCACAAATGTGCCAAACTCAATGCTAGACTCAAAGAATAAAATGCTGAAAGATTTACAAGCTTAGTTGGGATGAAAGACATAAATGTGTTAAGCCTCTGACAATGGTTAAAAAAAAAAAAGCAAACAAAGGAAACAACTAACTACTGGAGAGGTTCTTAGAATCATTCAAGGGTCTCATCAGTTTTCTATGTATGGGTGATTTCTGGAATCATAAAATTTTTGTGGTGAAAGCTTTCATCGCATAGATTCGAGTTCAACTTTATCTTACAGCAAAGCTCCCCTAAGATGCTCTTTGTGCTCTACTTTCTAATAAATCAAGCTGTATCAATTAATCATGATTTTCACATTACCCATTTTCTTTTAATTCTCCTTCTCATCATTATCCTTATGGGCTACTTCAGAGATGTCTGTGATGTTAAGTGCTAGTAAAGCTTACACTTGGTAAAACTGCAAAAACTTAAGCACTGCTATCACTCCTCTTGGGGGCATGCTGCAGAACCACTGGCACATGTCATTCACTTTTTCAGAGATCATGACTAGAACTATAAACGACCTTTCCACGGAAAAATCAGCATCTAGCCCAGGTAGTACAAGTTTTCAGTCAAGTTTATTTACGTGCATCATAGAAGCCTGGCAATAGGGAAGTCAAATGCCCATGGCATAAGGGAAGACATCCAGTAATAGAAACTAATAACTTATACCAAAAAGCCATTTTCATCTGTAAAATATATACAACAAAAACCGTACTAACACTAAATAGGTATGAATGATAGGTAGCCAGTTGGCCCTTATTTCCATAAGGCTATTTTATAGTAATAGCCTAATAAAAAGTATCCAAAAAAACCCCAAAAAACAAAAACAAAACCCAACTGAATAAAATTTCTCTGATAAGTTCTTAACTTTATTTCGATTTAGCAGAGAGGTACGTAAGAATCTTAAATGCTAATTGCAAAGCCGTCTTCTACTCTAGCATTTGCTTTTTCAGAAGGCCACCAGTTATCCTAACATTTTTATCTTTTTTTAAACCCTAATAACGCTCAAGACCAAGTACACAAATCTTTTTCCAGTGCAAAGAAGGTACAGTGAATCTAATACTAGGCCACTTCTCCAGAGGACTGTGTCTTTTTATTGAACGAGGCACTGCAGGTCCAAATGTTTGAAATGGCTTCGTTTTTAAATTTGAGCCCAAGTAAAACAATGCTATTCTTTATTTAAAGTACCTTAAGGGGCCCAAAACACTAAACAAAGGAAAACATTACATCGATTAGTTGCACAAATATAAAAAAAGGCTTCCAATTGTTTGAAACCTTATCAAAAATCGGTTAATTCAATTAGGCATTGGAGGAGGGAGTGCAGAAACCATCCTAATTCCAGAAACCCTAATTTTTATAAAAGAGCAAATAATAAATTTTTCGTTATGATTATAGCCCTACTTGTTTTCGAAAAGGAGTAAACAGAACTTTTCTTTCCAGTGGAAAGGAATACAAAATGCTTGCATTTTTTTTTTAAACAGTTTCAGTAAAAATGAGGTAATCACAATACGCGATCCACCAGAATTGGGCATCTTATACTCAAAAGCAGACTTTTTTTTTAAGCACCATTGTTCTTATTTAAAATTAAACGGGTCAACGCAGGGTTCCTAAATTTAAAGAAACAACAGCAATGATAAGGCTTTATTATAATGCTTTTCAAAGACTTCAAAATGATTACATCACGAGCCTCTTCGGAAACAGAACAATCAGAAATCGTAGCTCCAAAGCCTTCCCGTAATTAAGCCGAATTTTTTTTACTCCTTTTGAGCAGCATCTTCCTCAGGTCCTTACTAAAAACAAATTAAGGTTTTAACAGGAGAAACACTAATTGAAATTATGCAACTAGAATCCTACTGAGCGTAAGCAAAAAAACCCAACCCAAACCAAAATAAAACCCCAAAACCAAAAAAACCTGCTATGACTCTTTTCCCACTACAGACAACGCCTTTTTGACCCAATACTT